TTATACATATTTGACATCTGCATATTTGTATCCAAGAACATGAGTCACTTCGCGAGAGTAAAAAACAATACAATTTAAACACACGCCACAGAGACAGACTATACCTACTACCATCAAGAATTAAAATGCTAAACCAGAGCCCTTACTACATTGCTATAAAAAATATATACAACAAATTACCTATCCACATAAAAAATGAAACGAAGACTACACTATTCATTAAAAAACTAAAAGCATTCTTAATTACAAAATGTTTCTATTCTGTTAAAGAATACATTGAGGAAAAAAACACTTAACAAACCACATTTCTTATTACACGGAAAACAGAATGCATATACTTAAGTACAAATCATAAAAAGAAAAATCGGTCGTGATGCACGGTAATGCTAGGGACAGTAGGAAAATGTGTATATTATGTATTAGTGATGTAGAATGTCGGGTGCCTTCGTATTTTTGCATGGTTTGTTCGATTGTTATACTGTACTATTGAGTCACTTAATTTGTATTGTTTAAAAAAATGCTTGTACTTGTGTAACAATTTATTCTTCTGCGTTCTCTCTCAAATTTTGCAATGCCTGGAAAGGGCTTCTAAGTTGGGACTACTACATATAATATTATAAGATCATTGATGTACACTTGGTTGGCAAATAAAGATTTGATTTGATTTGATTTGATATTAGCTAGCCATACACGCACAGATCTGTCTGCCGGATCTGTCCGACAGGCAGATCCGTGATTCGCCACACACGAGTACGGGCAGCAGTTCAGATCGTAATGCCAGCAAATACGGTCGTCTGTACAAACTAGTCTTTTTAAACTAGTGTAGAAGCAATGGGAAAGCTTCTTCCCTTCTTTAATCGTATCCTACTTTCATTGTCTGTGGCGCTATTTTTAAATTTTCCACCCACTTGCTATTGTGGCGCCATCTTAATTTGCTGCCTTTCAGTGGACACTTTTTAATATATGAGATGGTTCTCCTTACCTCTACCCTCCATACTTCGAGTGTTAGAGCGCGACTGACGTCAAATCTGGCGGGTACATCCGTCGCTACGCACACACGCACAGTTGGGAGCTCGGATCTACCCGCCCCGTGCCCGATCCGCTCGATTTGACCACGGGCAGCGGGCAGGCACCGGGCGTGCAAATCCGTGTCCGTTCTCACCATACACGCACGGATCTGTCCGCCAGGCACGTCTGTCGGACAGATCCGGCGGGCAGATCTGTGCGTGTATGGCTAGCTTATGACTAAAAACTACAAAAATCTTTAGATACCGATTCAAAGTTATATTTTGATACGACACAATGTAACTTTGTACGTATGTTGTTTGGATTACAGTACCATAATTTGACATCTCGGGGAAGATCTGATTATAGATCTGACGACGGATGGCTAGATAATGGCGCTAGTAGGTAAACTTTTCTGTTGTCTTTCCCTTTGAGTGTAAGGTTCTGAGATGCAATTTGACGAGTCTTAGGTTTGGTAAAGCGAGGATCCTCCGACTAGGCACAAAATGATCAGTGTACAGAAGTGAAGCTCATGTGTGTACTTCACTCTTTATGCCTACGCGTACGCTCAGCGGTCGTGCTAGGGTTATCAACTCCGGCTTATCTCTTATTAACTATCGTAGTATTGGTACTCGTATCTAGTTGTTTGATACACTAATTGTTTTGTGGACCAGGCGAGGTAAGGAAGGACTAATTATTTCAGTCTCGTGAGACTAAGGAGAGAGGACGAGTCCGAACCGGTGGTTCCGATGTTCATTGCCCCCAGAAAACTGTTGTTTCGTAATAAAATGACATCTATAACGTATGTATGTTTAGTATTTATGTATGTATAGTATTTATGTATAATAAATATGTCATAGGTTAAGACCTTATTTATTTCTCTAATTTCTGTATACCTATAACCAGTTCAAAATGAATCCATCCAAAGGTTGCTTGGAAGAAATTACATCTGTTGTTAATTACTTTATAATGTCTGTAAAACCCTGGTGTACAAATAAAGTATTTATCTATCTATCTATCTATTTTGTACTTATATCTATACTTAATATTGTAAATCGGCAGAGTTTGTTTGGTTGGGCGGCGCTCTCATGCTCTCATCTCAGAAATGACTGGTTCGAATTGAAAAATTATATTACTGGTGGATAGGTAATTTATCGAGGAAGGCTATATAATATGACGCTACGATCAATAGGACTCGAGCTTTAATGAAAAATATTGTAAAAACGGGGAAAATTTATTCCTTTTGAGAGACGCTGGCGAAGTGACTGATTTGTTTAATTCTCAAACTTTAGTAAAAGGATTCATATTAGCCTTTCATTTTAAATATACCTAAATTGTTTCCCGCTGGGATAGGATGTTTTCATTAAACTGTTTCGCTTAGAAAACATTATTTGTTTCACACGGGTCCCATTTGTTTGCGCCAAGTATTTTGTCGGTCCCCATTGGTTTAACAGTTAGTTTTGTGATGAAACTTTGGACAAGATTTAGACAGAAATGTTCGTGATATCTTTTAAGCTGGATGTCTTCCCGTTTACTTTAAGCCTTGGAGCTGTTTAGACATTGATGAATCGACATTGGGTTTTAGACTTGCGTAACTTGAACAAATGAGCATCAATGTCGTAATTTAAAAAATTTGAATACTAAAATGTTTACGAGAATAAGTTATTATTATAAGTTATTTTGAATTTGTTATAATAATAATAATAATAATAATTCCTTTATTGCAGGTACAAGGTCCCATATTTGTTACAAAAATTTATAGAACAACGAAAAACAATAATAATACAGAGATGATAATAGATACAACTTTTCTTTCAAATAAAAATTAAAATCATAACAATATTCCATTACCATGCAGATATAAATATAATTAAATACTTAAAATCTAAACTCAAATCATTTAAATTTAATTTAAAACTTAAAATAAAATATAAATAATTCAGATCGGGTAAAAATAAATAAAATAACAAAAAAAAAAGACCTTAAATAGAACAACAACGTTATGAAAAAGAAACTTTATTCTGTAAAAGACAGCATACAACTTATGTTGACAGGAAAAAAATACATTTTATATGATTAGGTGATATCACATTTTCGAGGCTTAAAACTGTTGACCTGTTGTACGTGCAACACAACGCGATGTCTTATATCCTTGAATACGTTATCTGTGGCCAAGGTCATATGGAGTGGTGATCACTATTATTTTAGGTTATTTATGGTACCAAAGAGAAGAGAAACTTTCTACGTAACCAAGTCCGTGTGGTGACGGATTAAGAATACAGAGTGTCACCACCCCTGGTCAACCCGTGGGTGTCGTAAAAACGGACTAAGGGAGCAAATTACGCAGAACAACTTAATTAACGTAATGTACCTTTTTTTTAAAAGGACGTCTACGAAAATATCCAAATTCCCATTGTAATGCGTTACGTAATAAAATTGATGATAGAGAAATAATAATTACATTAAAAAGGAATAAATCTGCTCCTCAAAAGGAATAATTTTTTCCAGTTTTTGCTGCATGTTTAATTGATGCTCGGTTCCTATTGGTATTAGCGTGATGTTATATAGCCAATAACCTTTCTTGATAAATTGGCTATCCGACACTAAAAGATCGAATCAAACCTGTAGTTCCTGAGATTAGCGCGTTCAACCAAACAAAAAAACTCTTCAACTTTATAATATTGGTATAGAATCTATTCTTCTTCCTCACTTTTCACTTTTGCTCCAATTTATTATATTTTAATTATTTAAATAGTGTTTTAGCACTTTATTCCATAGAAACTAGTGTAAGTAGTTATTTAAAAGACTAAACTTTGTAACGAATTTCTTTTCTAAATGCAAAACCCCAACAGAATATAATCGTATTAAAGTAATAAAAACTCTTGAAATTTAATGGTAATTGGAGTTACACAAAACATAAATAAACGAATTATCCTTTTACACACAAAAGAGCTCTCCATGAACGTTCTTAATGTTATAAACAATTTGAATAGCACTTGTGAAACAGTTCCGCACTCAAAACTCCTTGTACAAGCAAACTTAGACTAATTCTAACAGTATTCACCCTTTATACCAGTGATACCAAAATGATGTTATGGGTTTAACCTGACGTGAGTCTGTCATTATAGCTCGTAAACCGAAGGACCAATTTGGATTTAGTTTATTTCGTTTTAAAAGGCTTGACCGATTGTTTCTAGTTAATCGATATATCTATGCCACCATTAAAATGATCAGCATCTTTTTTGTTTTGATCTTTTTTTTAATTGATCACATCAATAGCCTTCAATAGTCTACTGCTGGACGTAGGCCTCTCCTTAGAAAGAAGGTTTTGGCCTACTGTACCACGTTGTGTTGTTTGTTGATAAATTCTAAAACACTGATCTGACTGACTGAGAACTGATCCTCTAAAACCTACCGTCACATTATATTTTCTTTAAATTCAAATGAGATTCAATTGAACAAAAATATTAATAAAATGGTGACTCACAAATGGTAGAGATATCTCGTAACAAATCCAAAAAGAAAGACAAAAAAAAATTAGTTAACTAATTTTTTTCTCTTTCTTTTTGGAAAAAGCAAACCAAATAATACAAAGATTTTAGATTACTTATGGTATAGAGGCCAATTAGGCAGACGCGTCACCTGATTATGGGAAGTAACAGCCACTCTTGGACGCCTACAACTCCCCCCCTCCCTCAAATTTAAGGGAGAGGGAGGGGGCTCCTTTTATTTTTATGGTAGAGGGGGCAGACGAGCAGACATGTCACCTGATGGAAAGTGAAAGTTTGCAACTCAGGAGTCACAAACGCGTATCCGGCTTTTTAGGAAGTAGTAGGTACGCTGTTTTTTTGAAGGTTTGAAGGTCGTATCGATCCGGAAATACCGCAGACGATAACTCGTTCATCAGATTGTTTGTGCGCGGCAAAAAGTGTCTCGAAAAGCTCACAGTAGTGGAGCGCCAACTATTGCTTACCTTCCGTGTTTTCTCTTTACAGATAAACAAAGTGACCTTTGCCCCTCTCGTGGTGTCAACACTCTTCATTCTTCTAACGTCACTCCTAGCTCACTGCGCCAGGCGAATTGTTCAAAAGCTAATCAAAGAACCCTTCATCAGACAACTGCTAGAAGAAGCGATAGCTGCTGCTGAATTATGTGGTTGCTGCTTTGAGTTGATTGTTGGTAAGTTCAAATAATAATAAAAAATAATAATATGGTACCACATTCACACAACGTCATCTAGTCCCAAACTAAGCAGAGCTTGTACTATGGGTACTAGACAACTGATATAAATACATTTATACTTTTTTTTTGTAAATACATACATATTATACATAGTAACACCGAGACCAATTCAAACATTAAATGTTCATGAACACAAATGTTTGACTTGAGCGGGAATCGAACCCGCAACCTTTGGAATAGCAGTCCGTTACACAAACCACTACGCCATCAGGTCGTCAATACGTACATATATATTTTTATTTTTAAGCTATATTACAATTTTTTGGATTAATAGCTCAGTAGAACTTGAAAATCATAATGAAGAAACGAATTTAAAAGTAAAAAAGAGTTACAATCCTGACTCCCTAATTATGTCATTCTTACAAAACTCAATTCGTTGGTTATCAAAACTTATCATATGAGCATAGAGAGTCATACACTTATTGACACATTCATGAGATCAGAAGGCCAATTCTCGTAATAAAAGTTCGGTCTCAATTCGGTTCCGATCTATTTTCGATCGCACAACTGTCATAAAAGGTATTTTCGTAGTAAAGTATTAAACATCCAACGTTGACTGTAATGTGATTATATCGTATTGTAATCAAAAATCGAATCGAAATGGAATCGGTAATCTACTAGTCCTAGTAATACTTTACTATTTTAACTACGAAAATACATTTTATGGCAGTTGTCAGATCAAATGATCAGGTTGATCGGAACTGAAAGGAGACCCTAATTTTTATAACGAGAATTGGCCTTCAGCTCAAATATGTCGAACTATAGCATTGTCATACAGTCTACATAATGCAAAGTTTAACTTCGATACGAAAAAACAAAAAATAATTGCTTACTGGGTATATTTTGTTACAAGTTAAGCTAATAAAGGTGTGTAAAAATAAAAAAAGCCTTAACAACTTGTCTTTGAATGTATTAAATTAGCGCAAAAATATACTGAACATGTAGAAACCTGGGATGATTTATAAAACTGATTACAAAACCGACTATTTCACAAATCGGTAGGTATTACTTTTTAAAGCGTTTATCAAAATGTTTAACAACTTACATAAAACAATATATTTATAAAAATAATATTTTAGCAACCAATTCTAAAGAAAAAAAATATTTAATCACTTTTGTTAAAAGTTTTTACGTTCACACTTTTATCTTGCGTACTTGTCTATAATGGAATGAGGTCGATATAATCAAGAGGACGGGCTTCGAAAACACTACGTCTTTCTAGACATTTACTTATATTTTTTAATATTTTTTAGGTAGTAAGGCATACCCACCTAAAATTAGTTGATTGTTTTAGTTGAATTTTTTTGTGTTCGTGCTAGCTTTTTTTACGTGGTAACCCCCTCGGGCAGTAGCGCGGGCACCACCTTCTTCAATTCTCTATTTTAGGCGACGCCGCGACGTCCGGTACAGGTGAACGCGATGGAGGGGAAAACCCGTCCCGTCCACCCGCGGCCTCACCCAGGGCGGCAAGACTACATGAGGCACTGGTAATCGCCTGGGTTCGCTGGTTCGCTCACTCACCTGTCACCCCTCCGTGCGACTGAGTCGTCTGCGGTACCTGGCCCGATCCCGGGCTTGGTGGAGCGGGAGAGTTCTAAAGTCTAGAGAGTCTACCTATATATATACGTCTATCTACATTCAGGCGGAACATTCGTAGGAAAAAAGAGAGAGTGAACTCTGGAACTAATAGTTGGATCTGAACAAACATCTACGCGTATCGGAATAACCTCTAGAAATATTATTTTAATATCAGATGATCCTGAGGAGAAATTACCATTAACACAGGTGAAATGGAGGTTTGGAGGAATAATATTGACTACAATTAGCAATAACATTAATTTTGTTTCAGTTGCTGACAATTTTGGAGTAGCTACGTACGCGATCTTCTTGTTTGCCCTAACGATATGGTGGTCGCTAAACTGGGGTGATGCTACTGCTTGTCCCTATACACACATTGAGGATGTTATCGAAGGTATAGTATTAGTAATAAAAAACTCAAGGTTTAGTTCAACCAGGATCGAAATAAGACAAGACCTTTGAAAAGAATATATATGAGTGTATATATGAGTTATCGCGGTAAAAATTAGCCTATGCCCTTCTTCACCAATCAAAGTATCTCGATGCCAAAATTTCATTAAAATCGATTTAGCGGCTGAGCCGTGAAACTGTAACAGACAGGCAGAGTTACACTGTTACATTTATAATATTAGTCGGGATAAAGTAATATATATAAACATATTTTTATTCACAGGGAAAGATGACATCCGTAAAGCTGTGCTAAAGACCTGTGCGGAGCTCGCCGGAGGCATACTGATCTTCAAATACGTGCAGTTATACTGGGCCCTGGAAATATCTGACACGCACAAGGACAAAGCTTTCGAGGATTGCAAAGCCGACCTCCAGGTACACTTTTTTTGTCCTTTTTTTAAGGGAATTTTCACACTTGTGCTCATCTCGGTCATAATCGTCTTCAGGTACTACAAAATCAAGTTTTAAGAACATACTTGTGTGCCTACTTTATAGAAACTTTTCCCGCCTGAACTACCTAACCGGTTATCATGAAACTTTGCTTACCTGTCAGCCACACACCTGCCATACGTTGTCAAGAGCACAGGAAAGAAATAACGTAGTTTTTTTCCAAAAAAAACATACTGTTCTTGAGCGAAACCGAGAGCAATATCTAGTTAAAAATAATTCGTAACTGTGATTCTAACACAGTTTAAGCAATCAACTCAGAACGAAGAGATCTTTTCTTTGAAAATACCATAAGAAATTCTTATTTAATAGGATTACGTTGTTTCGTAAATTCCATTTTCATTGACTCAATTCTAATTTCAATTTCGAAAAGGAATGTTTTCACAATTATCCATTCTTTTTTTTGTACATTCAACGTAAATTTATTACTATGGATTCCAAATTCAACTTATTTTAAATTTGTTGGAAAGGGCGCGCCCCATGTGATTCCATTACAGATAAAAAAACTAAATCGAGTTTCTAGTATAGATAAGCTTTAGAAAGAATCACAGAAGTTCATTATACTTAAAGAAACAATATTCTAAGCGAATGTTACGTTTTTGTTTGAATCCCATTAACATTATAAACGCATAAGTTTGTAAGGATGGATGTATTTTTGTTTCTATTTCTCAATCACGCCAGAACGGCTGAACGGAATTGGATGAAATGGGGCACAGATGTAGATTACACTCTCGAATAGCCCATAGGCTTCATCCAGGAAAAATTGCTTCACGAAATATATATAGGTATAAGCTAGTATTTAATACAACATATCTTTTTTTTATTTTATTTAAAAGGTTTTCCTACAGCTCGTGTTTACGAAATACATTATATTAAGTGTAAAATCGTAGTAAGGCTTTACACACTTGCCAATTTGCCAATTACGGGCTGACCAACATTCGCCAAATGGTTACACATTCAAATCGTAGTTAATAATTTCGAAACCAGTTACATAACTACATTTTAACTAACAAGCAAACACAAACAGGAAATAAGGAATTTAAAAATAAACCTTAGTACTTGATTCTGCTTTTTGGCGAATTTCTTCTTTTCTTCTTTCACCTTCTTTGAGTTTTAGGTTAATTTGTCCTGGGGAGGGGATTATTATTGTTACCCGTTATATTCATATTTTAACTATATTTTTATTAAGTAGTATATTTTACATAATCCTAGTAACAGGCTCTGGCTTCGCGGGGTAGCACTTAATTTTTGTCATAATTTAAAATTGATTTTCTAGTGAGTGCGTTACAATTATTTTTTTCTATTTAAATAATAACTCGATTACATTTTATTATGCATGTACATATACCTTAATTTAAAAAAATCCCTATGTAAAATAACTGATTATGATATGATTGCGTAGTTTACGAACAGGTAACGAATATACAGTAAAGCTACTTTATTTTAAATCATGTTGAGGTGACGTTTTGGGTTACTAGTCGTTTGACATTGAACTATATAAGTAGTTAACTTCAGTCCTTATTCACTTGATAATAAGTTTCCCAACCCCTCTTATCTGCTCATGAATATATTCGTTGCGGAATGAAATAGTTTAACTTTTCCTGAGGACTCGTCGAATGACATGCTCGCTATTTTCCGGATTCTAGTCTTAATCTTGAGATAAAAGAGCCAAAGTAATAGGGTTTTCGAAGAAATAGTGCAGTAAGCAACTGCATTGAAACCACTGCAGGCAAATAAATTAGCAATATTTCTTATGCAGAAATAACTTTTAAAAACGTATGATCAAGTTTGATGCACCATCATGTTGAACTGTATTCGTAATTCCTAAATTTTTTCCCTTACATATGATGTTTTTTCTTCAAATAGAATCAAAACTTGTATCCTCCAAAATCAGAAAGATTTTTCAAACAGTTTCATATGCGACGGAGCTCTGGAGCGGTAAATATATAAAAGTACAAAGGAATTTAAGAGCATTTTCTTTATTCCAAAGTCAATATGAATGCAAATGAAGATCTTAATTATTTCCAAATACCTCAAGTTTTATCTTAAACCAGCCTAATTAAGTCAAAATAATTATAAGTGTTGAAACTGTAACTTTTAGCACATGTGTATGTACTCGTTTAAGTAGGTGCAGTTTAGCAACCACAGTTGCTATATCAGGATCTGAAATATCATGCTGTTAAACTTTTATATATGTTTGATATACAGATATTCAAGTTTATACCTTTTTTTTGCCTTGTGGAGTTTGTTAGCTCTGTGGAGGTAATCATATAGTAGTGAAGTAGAAATTAGAGGAGACGGTGTTTAAAATCGATGAAGGAGGATCTATATGGAAGAAGTTCACTTCTGAGTTTCAAAAGTTTTTAGTACAACTTGACTGTTTGGATTGTCAATAGTTAAAGCGTAAAAGCAAAACAAATCTACAAAGTAATACTAACATTTGCATTTATTTGTAACAATCACATTTATAAGTCACTCACGTGTCTCAGTCAAATACATATTTCATACACAAGTATTTTTTATTTATCAAAGCATATCTAGATTATCGTTCACATCGAGGCAGTTTTCAACATCGTGGTCCTTCGAGCCGGATTACATTGATAACATTAACTCTCTTTAAGCTAGCGTATACTATTATTGTTACCGTGCACCTGTAACAAGATGGCGTCAAACAATGACGTTCCATTTAGAAACGAGGTGCAAATATAATCACGTCCTAAACAGACAGGTCTGCATTTCATTAAATGTAGTATTAGAGTCCCTTAGGGCACATTTATTAAACAATGAATAGGTTAAAATCGGTACTAATATTTTTTTAAGTATTTAAAAAAATGTGTGACCCATTTCAATGTATCTAAATCATGACAAATTATAATGAACCATAAAGTCTAAAGAAATAAAGTATAAGGTACGATACTAGACCAACGCCAGATACTAGACAGTTATGACATTTTACGAAATATTGTTTTATTACCCAATACAGGAAGGTTCATTGAAATTATAAATTGATTCAAATGATATTTAAGTAATCGAATTGCAATACAATACTTTTTATTAAAGAACTGTGGACATTGGTAGACAACACAATATGATCTTGACAATGTAATGTCTGATACATCTGGCTTCCAACGTCACTTGGCACTATAAAGTTTGAGTGTCTCAAGTCTCTGAAAGGTCGTTGAAAAGTAACTCGTGTGGATTAACGGGAGTTGAAAGATTAACGACATCGCAAAATACATATATGTAATTTAAAAAAAAAAACAGATTTAAAGCAGCATATTCATATGCTAAATTCTTTATGGTTTTGTAACCTTGTATCAACCTGTAATCCTATTTGAATTAAGCACCTACATTGCATATTTTTTTCTGACATCTGGCAAAATATTTGTCATAATCCAAGAAATGAATACACCTATACCTTAAAAACTGGATTTATTGTTGAAAACTAATCCATCAAATGTTGCACGGTGACCGAATTGGTAAAAAAACTATTGAAATCAGTGACACTTTTTTTAGAAGTGAATTATTACTTAAATATTGAAGTTATAAAATTGTATTTCTAGGTACCAGTTTTATACGGAGCAGCAATAGAAGGTGTAGCCACTTGCCTCTGTCGTTTGGCCTCCAAGTCTCTAGGTGACCTGAACCCTCGCTTTGCAACAGCGATTGATTCCTTCATCGGAACATCCCTCGTTGTAGCCGGTAAGTCTCAGGTGATTTAAATTAATAAACATTAATTTACTTCAAACATTTAAAGAACTTTAAATGGCATTGTTAACTATCACACATTTGAACACATTTATAAAAATATTTAAGTGGAATTTCGTACTTTACACGATAACACAAAATCTAAGAGACTATTAAATTGTCTTATTTAAAAGTTTATTTACTAACTGAGCTGATTAAGTTTAAAATTCTTTGATTAATTATAAACAAACTTTAAAAAAATTACGTACTTTGAATACAATTTCAATGTATATATCATTTTGAATTTGTTCTTATGAATATAACTGGCATTATTCTAGCATAAGAGACTCATTTTCCATTTTAACTGCGCATACTAGTAACAGACAAAAAACAACACACTTTTTTTTTAAAAAGGTACTGAGTAAAACGACTTTTTGCGTCCTTGTCAATCTAATCCTAATCACTAAAACACAAACTCAACCCACCAAGATTTTGTTCTTTGAAGAAATTAGGCAGCCCCCACTAACTTGACACCGCTTTATTGCAATACTTACTTACCAATTCTCATGCTCAGCATCAATGTTGCAGGGGTCCTCACTAGGCACACGGTATTCGTCTACCGCTATGAGGACGCTAGTACCAATGCGGACCTAAGCGTATCCATCTTTTGCAAAGTTCATTTAGGAAAAGGTACAAACTTGTAATAAATGTCCACTAACTTTGTTATCCTCCATCACGTTATTAGATGCGCATGATTTTAGTTCATTTTCTGTCTCATCACCATTTGCCTCAACATCATCATAATCACTACAAATTATCACTTTCATCATCATTTATGTTTTCATTTTTTATTTCTGTTAATGGCAATGAATAGTAGAATTAGAAAGTGTATTTTTATATTTAGATTGCTAAGCTAGATATTACTTAAATACTTATTAATGGAAGGAAGGAAAATGAAAATATTTATTGGAATGAATGGAATGGAAGAATAGCTAATAATTTATTTTTAAATATAAAGAATTCTTACCAATATCATTGCTAACACAGTCTAAGCTACAAATGCCTTGATAAAAACTCAAAAACAGATATCTATTATTTCACATATCAAATAATAAGGTTGTGGACTCTGGTCCAAACTTTGGCAATTTTGAAAATAGAACTTAAATTTTTAAATTTTCTTATTAGCCAAATACTCTTACAGATTTCGATATCTTAAGACAGGGCACTGTTCATAAAGTATTTTCTTGAACCAGTTTAGCGATAATAAGAATTATAAAAAAATAAGTTTTTGAAATTAGGATTTCTGTCTTTACAGCTTTCGACTACTCCGGTGGGTACTTTAATCCTGTGTTGGCGACTTCGTTGAAAGCTGGCTGTGCAGGTCACACTCTGACTGAGCACGCAGTTGTTTACTGGATCGGAGCTTGCGCTGGTTCTATCCTCTCAGTCTATTTATACAAACTGCCAATAATCCAAAAATTCATGAGAGGAACCAGTGTTGCCAACGGCGATAGTATTTGGGCAGAAAAAGAGGATTAAGAAATTACAAAACACGTAACGATAACTTTTCGGGTTTTTCTGCTAATAATTGACAGATTAAAGTTACAACGTGCCGCTTTTGTGTAATTATGTAACGAAAAAACCATAACTCTCTATCAATTTTGAAGAAAAAACATATTGTCTATGCTAAAAACAAAATTATTTTCTTTTTTTTACAAGATTTCAAGCCCAATGTATATCTTTAATGTAAATAATCCTAATATCTAACTTGAAGTGATATCTATGATTCTAGTCATTTTTCTTAAAAAACTACTTATGATATCTCTATATTTGAGTTAAGAAATTTTATATTTAAGCATAAACCATCTCCTGGTACTTCAACAACCTTAATTCGGTTCTCAACTTCAAGTGGTGACATACTTGGATCCCATTTTAACAACTTTCCAACTAAAATTTGGAATCATACATTAAAATTTGAACTCTACTGTTAAAACATAAGGTGCATATTTACTTCCATTATGAAGAAAAACTTCGTCGACATAATTTGAAATATAAGTAGTTTCAGGTTACCTAAATCATAAGAAAGCTGTCGTATTTTGCTACAAAAATAAAATTATTTTATTTTCACCTGATTCTATCACCTTCGAAGTTGAATCACCATTGTTAACGGTGAACACAGGTGATACAAGATCCTCAATTTTCATCACTAGTCATAGGAGATGATAATTTTGACCACCTTCTGTACAAAGCTTCATTTGAAGTGTTAATTTTATATTTTTTTCTATTCATTATCATAATTGACTTAGGTATTTGTTTGTGTCATGTTCGCCAAAAATATAATAAGTGCTACGTATTCCTGTTGTAAATAAATGTTTAATTATTGAGAACGAGTTTTATTTTCTTTTCAAGATTCGCTCTCCATTATATACCTCAGAAAATACCTTTGAATTGCCTGACGTTTCGACCCGGTTGCTCTGGATGTGGTTCTAAGCTAAGTCACCCTGTTACATGATAGGTAATTCACGCATATAATACAACATAATTATTTAAATTTTATTTGGATAAAGGTGTGTTTCAACGAAAAAGGGTTAAGTGTAATAGTTTTGCTATCCGTAGGGGAAATACCCTTCGGCACAAATGGGAACCTCACAGAAAACCGAGGTTGAACAATTTTTTGGTGCATTTCACCGAATGAGTGAGCTTACATCTTGATTCTGGGAGGAAGGGACTGTAACTCTGAAGTTGCAACTTCAGAGTTACAGTAGTATTCACTACGTAGCTTAATACACTTATCCATTCGCTCCAACCAGTTATTATAACATTTATTCCACTCTAAACTTTTCTTCATTTTAGGAAATGTAAAGAATCGTTAGGGCTTAGGTCAGGACTGTATGGAAGATGGTAAAGAATTTCTACTTTTTCCTGCTTCAAATACTCAATCGTTTGACGAGCGCTGTGTGAGCTTGCGTTGTCGTGGTGCAGGATGATGCGTCGCTATGAGTTAGATTTTCGAAGTTCGACGATGACTTGTGGTAAACAAACAGTGGTATACCACTCTGCGTTAATCGTTCTACGATCTTCAAGTGCAATAGTCGCAACATGGGCGGTTTTTCCAACGAACGTGGCCACCATCTTCTTTGAAGTGCTTCGAGAACGAACAACTTTTGTCGGCTTTGGCTCGTCTTGAAAGACCCAGATTGTAGATTGTTGTTTGGAATCAGGATCGTAGGCATAGATCCAACATTCGTCACCACTGATGATGTCGTAGACGTGATTTGACTCTCCTCGGTTGAACCTTTGCACTGTTTTTTACGCCTTGTAATCTTCGGAAAGCAGATGCGGGATATGACGGCAAACTAGCTTTCTCACACCAAGCGCTTCATGCAATATCTTCTGAAATGTTGTCCCTAAGATGCCTAATAGAGCCTTCATCTCTCGATACGTCACATGACGATCTTCGAGAATTAGTTGTCTCACAGCAATTATGTTATCTTCAGTGAAGGCGGATTTTGGGCGTCCTTCGTCCAAAGTGAGATTTTTCACTAACACTAGTACGTCCAAGCTGGAATTCTAAATACCAGCGTTCGACAGTCCGCAGACATTGGGCTTCATCACTGAACATAGATGTTAGCTCTTCAAAACACTGAAGCCGTGTCAGGCCTCTTCTAAAGTTGTAGAAAATTATTGCACGAATATTTTCCTTAGAAAGATTCATATTCGTACGTAGCCTGATAGATTCCAATCGACGCTGTGACTAAACAATAGCATTAATCCTAATACTTTCAACTGTTTTGAGATTAAAAATTTAAACACATTCGAATATAGAACAGTTCCAAATTCAAAATTGCCGGGAAATATGGAATCAACAGAACTTAAAAGGCATGCCTAGTATCAATCCGTTTACAATCTATTTTCTAAGATATTAAATGATATTAAAGATATTTAATGATTAATGCCAAATAAATCTAGTATACCCGATTACTATTCAGTGTTCATAGCTAGGAGATTACTTATGTCCTAGATTCTCAGCAGATGAAATGCAAGAGCCTCCCGAGGATTCCTTCCGAGCTAATGGAGTTGCAATATCATGTTGTAATAACTTTATATATATTTAAATTGTGGAACTGTATTTAGTGCGACTGTTAGTGTCGAGAAATGACTAAGTTACTAAAATGTTGAAGATTGAATGAAGAAAAATTACTGAGCAGTCTAAAAATATAATTTTTTTATTTCAAAAATTTACAAGTCCTGCTTTAAGCCTTTGAGTATATGAGTCTCCGGTAGTACGAAGTTTGCATTGGTTTATGTAGCTATGAGTAATCTATAGTTCTTAAAAGCTCTAGAATGAAAAGTCTTGTAGTAGATCGGTGTAATGATCAATAGTTTTTTCAGGACTGGCTTAGTATTTAGCAAAGGTAAGACGCCATTTCTGGATGATTTCATTTATTACACCAATCGTAGTAACCACAATTCCAGGATGGTAGACATTTGATGAAGACGTCGTAGATATAGTGGAAACAATATAGGTCACCCTGTCAAACATAATAGGCAAAGTTTGGTTGAACAAAATTTCATTTGTAAAATAAACATTAGTAGCGCTGTGACGTCATTCGCATACAACAATCGTGCGAGAACAGCGACGGAACTAAAATGCACTGATTTAAATAAATAAATTTTACTCATAATAATAATAACTCTTTTAGTATGTGTTTTCTCTCGTTTCTTGTTTTCTCTCGAACGTTTGCGAAGTCGACGTTGCATCTCTAAACACGATAAATGTGGCTTGAATTATACCCATTCATCTACATTTCTATAGTATATAAAGATATACTTCGAAACGGGTCCTTAATGTATGTAGTTCATAATCCCAGTTTCAAATAACAGAGAGAACGAAGGTATTGCATGTTGTTTGTTCGTAGTTTTCCAATCAACCCCGCCATTTGTGTCAACAGCTGTATGTAAACACCGAATTTAATTAAATTCAATTGTCCGACACGAACCGTTGGCTGTGAATATGACCGGGACCAGTGCGGCTTTATTTATTTCAGTAATTTAAGATAAACATGTCGCTATTTTACTTAATGAAGGAAAGTTCAGATACATTTTACAAACATAAAATATATGTCACTTACGCTTAGCGATGCCCTATAGCTAAGCGTAAGTGTAACTTGTTTTGGATAAATTCCCCCAGAAAGCCAAAGAATTTACGTGAAAAGGATGTAAACAATCGATTTTCTAACCTGTAGCAAACATTATGTTTGAGGCGTTTCTCTGTAGGTGCGGGGTCATAGACGAGACTCGAATAGTGTTTAACTATGGTGTGGAGCACACATCGGAAAGCGGGTAAATAACAAATATAGATAAATGTTTACGGGAATTCACGCTCTCATGATAGGTATTTAGTACATACTTTTAAAATGCCTGATGTTTCGTCGAGGTCACAGGTCGTGGTACCAGGGATTTACTTTCTAGAGTACACCTGGGCCTCAATTCTGCTATTTTAATATTGTATCAGTAGACTGTCGATGGCATGTCGTCGGAATAGTTTTGCACTTTTCCTATTCTACTAATTATGTAAGACCAATGGCCTCTCCCGATGACTTGTCACTGATACAAATGTCGTCGATTTCTTTGTAATAGTTTGGTAAACGGTACATTTAAAATTTGTTAGAAAATGATATATTCAATTTTCCAGGTATGGAAATGTTGTTGATATCACCATTGATGACCTTTACTACTATATCGACAGTCTATTGATACTGTGAATTGATGTTAGTAGAATACTGATATTTTGACCGATGTCAATGGCGTGTCAATATCATCTCAATAGTGTGTCAATGGAATGACAGTGGCTTGGCGTTAACATAAAATAGCAGAATTGAGGCCCTGGTTCCTGAGACGGCTAGTGTGGGTTTTAGTAGGTTCTGACATAACTACTGATGGTATCCGAGGGGATTACCGCACAGAAAAAAAGACAAAAAGCTAAGATCATACCAGTGGAGTTTGGAGAAATGATCTTTAAGAATATATTGTAGACATCAAAATTATGAGAGTAAATAATGTGTAGTTCGTATTTTTTTTAAAGCCGAACCGATCATTTGATCATCATAAGATTAATGTTGAATATTGCTATGAGTTTATAACATTATTTCCAAAAGATTAAATAATTACTCTTACGCGAGTGAAGCTACAAAAAGCTTTGAAATAATAAGACCGAACTTTGATTTTTTAGTTGAAAACGCTTGTCTCTAGAACTAGCTGGATTGTTAAAGATGTAAGGATATATATATATATCCATCACATTTTAATAAAGTTTACCTAATAAAGTAAGACGTCAAAGAAAGAAGTCCATGTTTAACAGTTTAAGTCTCTATTAATTTCCGATCAACTTTAGATCCCACAACTGTCTTAAAGGTATTAACGTAAAAAAGTAGAAAGTAAGGACTAAAGGTACTAAGGACTAGCAGATTACCGATAAAATTTTTGATTACAATACGATATAATCATATTACAGTCAACGTTGGATGTTTAATACTTTA